AACGGTTTTCGAATTCTATGCTAATGTTACGCAGATTTAGAGAGAATCTCTAAAAATATTTTTTTATTGTGGTATTAAAAGGTTACTGATTTTAAGAATAATTTTTATTTCCTGACAAAAGGATTAAATAAGACAATAATTCAGTTTTTAAATGTTCAAAATATGTTATGCGTATTTCAGCGTAACAAAAGGATAGCAGATGTAACGAACATCAAAACTACTTCAAGTTTAGGCATAAACTTAAAGGTGTTTTTAATAATCGTTTTCCAACTACTGAGTACCCTCCAGCAATCAAACCCGTCTTACTGTTGTTTATTACATGTGCCTTCATGAACTGAGATTTGAAAGACTTTGTCTTTCAATCCCTTGAGTATTAAATTGTGACTCCCGATGCAAATGTGTTTTTGATGTCTTTTCATAAGGAATTTAAAAATTATATATTAAGAGCAGTCTTTTTGTAAGAGCAGTTTTTTTGTGTTGTTTATATTAAAAGGAAATTCCAAAAAAAAAAATTGTTTTCAAGAAACGTTCTTATTTTTATTAAATGTCTTTAGTAATCCTACTAAAAGAGAGCAAGTAAGATTATCAACAAATATGATTTAAAAAAAATTGTCTAAAGCCTTCCAAACAAAATTTTTTTTAAATGTACTTTTTCAACACAATTTAATAAATTGGGGCTCATTATACTAGGGAACTTCCTCCTTGAAATAGTTTATCTCTAAGAAATATCCCTCCTTCATTACAGTCTACGTCGTTAATCTTAAAAGTTTTTTAAACCATATTTGTAGATTTTGAAAGCATCTTTTCAGCAGTTAGCTTGTTTTATTTTTTCCCCATTAACCATAACATATTAGATCTTTTTAACGGAAAAAACTAAATTTTCCTTCTCTTTTTTTTGAAATTTGACACAAGAGCCATTAATCATGTATTTTTTTTTATATACTGTAATAGATTTTTTTTTGCTTTACTCCATTTTGTTTTCTTTTGTTAAAAATCAAGCATGGAATGTTAACAATCTATTAATGCTTAAAACATGACCTGGATTATTACATAAGTCAGCTAAGTAAATTATACAAAACTCAAATTATTATTTTTTCCTTATTTTACATGCGATATACACTATTTTTTATAATTTTCTTAAAACAATAATTTAAGCATCTTTCAAATTGATATGGATTATTTATGCATGTTCAGATCCATTTTATNTTGCCACTTTACGGTGAGTAAATAAATTTTAAATTATTGCGTTGCGTATAATTTATGCTCAAATAATATTAATAATATAATTTTTAAAAAAAAGAGTTTAAACGTATGCCGGTCTCTGAAAATACCTTTAAAATTTTTAATTTTATGAAGTTTTCGAATTACAAATAAAATCAAGAGTTTTTTTAGTTATATTTAATATCTAATAAAACTTATTTTTCGTGTCGTAAAAAAATGACACGTACAAAAGGGGTTTCGTTATATTTCGCTCTTACCCCCAAAAAAATCAAAATTAAGTAATAATCTTCCTTGCTTCCACTATTTTATTTCAATTTGTTAACTGTCACTAGAAAGTAGACAATTTTATTTTATTTTATAACAGTCGTTGAATAGCCGATCCAAATTTGGATTCACGACTACTAATGTTCAACTCAGTAGCCTTTTGAACCCAATCCAGAAGACAAGGGAACTTCTGGATCAAGTATCGGGAGAAATTTGCCTTCGTGGAGGACTTTTTTAAGGAACTAACCCGCATTTGCTTTACATGGAGAGGAAGACCACGAAAACCCCCCACGGTTACCCGGACGACAAGGGAACTCTAACTCATGATCCATCCACCACTGAGGATATTTCATGTCAGCACTGTGGTCGGTGCAAGCCGGATGCGGAATTCGTATTGACCAGCCATCACTGGGATTCGAACCCGGCTCACCTCATTTTCATAAATTCACCATAAAATGACGCTCAACATGTTCAACAGTTACGGTCATCAAATATTGCTACTATAATTTCTTTGCTTTATTCCTTTTATTACAGACTTAATTTACGATCATTACAGTATATATCTTACATGACAGTCTCCTTTTAAACAGAATTCGTATGTTCCTTAAGAAACCGTAATAGTGGCAGCAAAACTAAAAAGATAACTGTATTTTATTACGGTTATATTCACCACAGTATTCAGTAATCAATTTCAATACATATAACTTCAAATATCTGCTAACAAAATCTTAAGTTTTGAAATTTAAATATTATAGTTAAAAATAACTTCCTTACTTCAATATAGGTGACACGATTTTTTAAATGTTTTAAGGATCGCATGAACGCTGTTAAAATAATAATTTACAGATGTTTGCTTCTTCCAGCATAAGATTCTAATCAAAATAATGATCAGGATCCATTATACTTGATAGTAAAAACTTCATTGGCCTCAAAAAATATGAAGAAAATAAGAGCCATTTCTTAAGACTCGTATCACGTGAATGAAGAACCAACAAAAACAACAACTAGAAAAACCGCGATAACTGGGAAAAGCAAATCAGGGCAAAATGCATTTCCATGTTTCATAGAGAGATGGTGTGAAACTGATATCGTTTACAAGAGAATCGGCATGTATATGAACAAAAAAAAAGATTCCCGGGGAGCAAGAAGAGCTGATGTGGCAGGGGTGGTTAGAATTTTGGTATTATCGAGCTTAAATTTGTCCCAAAGATGCAAAGAATGGGCAGCAATAGATTTTTCATATTCTTGAAAAGGGACTTATCTATCATGTTCCTTTAGTCTAAATGAGTCCTTTAGCTTTTTAAGCGAGCTAAACATTTGCTTTAAGCATTTAATTTTCTTCGGCTTCTACTAAATAAAAACTGTTGAAACTTAAAACTTTGCAATAGAAAATAAGTACATTAATATGGTATAAAAAAATTTATACCTCATAATTCAAAAATTTTTTATTACATAATTAACTTAAAAAATATCGGGTTGTTCGGAAAGTAATTTCGTTTTTCCAACAGAGGATTTAATTGTATTGTTTCGAACCCAACTTCGCACTTAAGCCGCATTATCATTATATGTTTTGAGAGCTGATATAGCAAGGCTTGTGTCTGAAAAAATTCAATTAATTCTACTCAGTAGTTTTTGGTTGGTGCCCTTTTAAATATGGAGAGCAATAAACAGTATTTTCGTCATATTTTACTTTTTTACTATAGAAAAGATAAAAATACTGTTAATGCCAGAAAGAAATTTACCGATGTGTATGAGTAAGATGGGTTGACAGTACGCCACTGCCAGAATTGGTTTGCAAAATTTCGATCCGGCAATTTTGATGTCGAAGATGCACCACGTTCTGGAAGACCAGCTGACGCTGATAAAGACACGATAAAGGCATTAGTTGATGCAAATCGGCGAATAACATCACGTGAGATCGGTACGAGGTCAAATTTATCGAATTCAACTGTTCATGACTACTTGAAAGCCCTGGGTTGAAACCTCGAAGCTCGATATTAAATGGGTTCCCCATGTTCTCACGGAGAGGAATTTGAATCGTCGCGTTGACGTCTGTGATTCGCTTCTCAAATGTCACAAAAATTATCCATTTTTGAAGCGCAGCATTACTGGGGACGAAAAATGGGTTGTCTATAACAATGTCAAACGCAAGGGATCATGGAGCCAAAAAGATGAACCGGCTCAAAGCATTTCGAAAACCAATATCCATAAAAAAAAAAAGGTGATACTGTCTGTTTGGTGGGATTTTAAAGGAATAGTTTCTTTTTTAGTTTTTACCGGATAACACAACACTTAATTCTGAAGTCTACTGTCGTCAGCTGGACAAACTGAACTGATACTCTCCAACAGAAAAGGCCAGAATTAATCCACCAAGATAATGCGAGACCTCATACAAGTTTGGTCACTCCCCAAAAGCTTTTACAGCTTGAATGGGATACACTGCCACACCCACCATATTTTGCAGGTCTTCCGCTTTCGGATTAATATTTGTTCCGGTCACTACAAAATGTTTTGGACTATAAAACCTTTACTTCAAATGAAGAGGTCAAAAATCACCTGGATCAGTTTTTTGCCAGCAAAGACCAAAAATTTTATGAGCGTGGAATCATGCTACTACCAGAAAGATGGCAAAAGGTGTTGGACCAGAATGGCCAATAAATAATTTAATAAAATATTTATTCTTTCATTAATTGTCTTTCATTTCCCCCCCCCCAAAAAAAAAACGAAATTACTTTCCGAACAACCCAATAAAAAAAATAAGTAATTATTAAAAAATATTTTTTGCATTAAAATATCTTTATGAATGTGTGCAATTTGTTTTGAATAGCACAATTAGTTTTAAAAATAAGACTTAAAACGCAAATAGTGAAATTAACATTAAGGGGACCAAACTGCAGCTACCCTCTATATTTCGAAGGTTAAGAATCCAAATATGAAAAAAAATCTATGTTTATTCAGAGAAAGTACGTTTTTGTGTCCAATTTCATAACTTATTAATAGTTAGCATTACATAATTAGCATTTTTAAAGACTCCCCCCAGGAACCATTAAGATTGACACTTAGTATGTGAAAATCCAATAATTAGAAGGAAAATTATTCAGGGTGATATCTTTTTTTTTGCTCACTGTGCAATAAGTAAATATCTTCTTTGAATTTTTAAGTACTAAAATATTTAGTAAAGAAATATAAATTTCATGAGTATTTCCACTTGCTAAAATGTTGATATATTATAGAGCAAAATAAAATCGCTTTTATAAATAGGACTCGAATCAATAATATAGATACTAGATTAAGGCTTACTGGACAATTAATTTTTCTCAGTTTCTAGGCATTTATGAAGAAAATGAAGTAAACATATATGTACGGTTTTAGAACATTACAGTTTTAAGAACCTGGCATTAACTTTGATAAAATACCACCTAGAAAACAAAAGCTGCTTAGTAACTTTAACAGTAAGATAGGATGGTAAAAGGAAAAATTTTTAAATAGTATGAAAAACTAGTAATGACGCATGATTCACTTGAAAAAATTGAATTTTATTTCAATATGAATATATGATGCTTACAGTATCTGCTGTGAGTATCCATATACATATCTATTTACAAAATTTAAATAAAAATAATTTTTTTTCACCAAAACAAGTGGTATTTATAAAAAAAACAGTTAACAAACATCCGATGACAAGAATCTTATGTGTACCCAGGAGGAAAGGAGAGGTACTCTTCAAGTTTAGGTCCTTTTGATCCCAAAGGGTCTGCAGGAATCATTAACATATCTCCAACAAAGCAATACATCAACAATCTATAGGATTTAAAAAAATTAATAAATTAGAAATGTGCTTTGAAATGGGTATATAAAAACATAATGAACAATGTTAACGCTAGAAAGAATGAACGTTGCTGTAAACCTAGAGAGACTGAAGAGACCAGTTTGGCCCTTCCCCGATTGTCTGATTAGACATCCAAAATCTTAAAATGAATGAATATGAGAATTTGAGAAAACCTATAATAGAGTTGATTTTTGAAATTCTATGGTATTTTATCTGATTTGGTTAGCGATATATCGCAATTTTTATTGAACATAACATTTACTTTTCAATTATATTTATATTTTAGTTTCTAGATAATGGAGTTATCTTTTCTCCATAAGTAATAATTATACATACGTTGAAACACTTTATTTTTTTAAAAAGAAACTGAGGTACTTTATATATACCAAAAGGTACCATATCTAGTGGATATAAGGGTTACAACATGGGGCTATGGGATGTCAACCATTAAGGGTCACTCTGGTCCCTCCGTCTTTCTAGGTATAAGGAGCTATATCTAATTATTATACAGCTAATGATAAAATAAGAACTTGATTTTGATCAAATTATCTGTCTTTCTAGTGTTTATCCAAACAATTCTTTCCTAACATTATTATTTTTAAACATCCATTATTCAATCAACAAAAATATCTAGAAGGTAATAAAAACTTTTTAGAAGTTGCACTATGCAAATGTAAGCAACAAAAAATGGCATTAACAAGATTTTTTAATGTACAATAAAAATGAACATATAAACTATTTTTATACAGTACAGAACCCGTTATCCGGAAATCAGAAAACCGGAAAACCAAAAAACCGGAACGAAGTTCGATAAATTTTCCCGCCATTTAAAAAAAAAAAAATTTTCCTCATAAGATTTTAGGATTTTTCCTTCTTGTTTGAAAGATGTTTACCTTACCATNATCATTAACATATCTCCAACAAAGCAATACATCAACAATCTATAGGATTTAAAAAAATTAATAAATTAGAAATGTGCTTAGAAATGGCTATATAAAAACATAATGAACAATGTTAACGCTAGAGAGACTGAATGTTGCTGTAAACCTAGAGAGACTGAAGAGACCCGTTTATCCCTTCCCCGATTGTCTGATTAGACATCCAAAATCTTAAAATGTAAGCATAATGAATTTGAAAAAACCTATAATAGATTCGATTTTTGAAATTCTATGGTATTTTATCTGATTTGGTTAGCGATATATAACAATTTTGATTGAACAAAACATTTACTTTTTAATTATATTTATATTTTAGTTTCTAGATAATGGAGTTATCTTTTCTCCATAAGTAATAATTATACATACGTTGAAACACTTTATTTTTTTAAAAGAAACTGAGGTACTCTATATATACTAAAAGGTACTATATCGAGTGGATATAAGGGTTACAACATGGGGTTATGGGATGTCAACCATAAAGGGTCACTCTGGTCCTTCCGTCTTTCTAGGTATAAGGAGTTAGGTGTATATATAATTTTTATATAGCTAACACATGAATGATTAAACAAGAACTTAAATTGGATTAAATTATGATAAGTCAGTAGTACTTAGCACTTTCAGTAAGTAGTTTTCCAATTACAGAGCAGCAAAAAACTAGAGGGACCAAATTGGCCCCATCTGTCTTTCTAGTGTTAAAAACAATTTTATCCTAACATTGGTTTCTTTACTTTTAAACATCAATTATCCAATCAACAAAAATATCGAGAAGGTAATAAGAACTTTTTAGAAGTTGCACTATTCAAATGTAAGCAACAAAAAATGACATTAACAAGATTTTTTAATGTTTCAATAAAAATTAACATATAAATCATTTTTATATTATAATCTCAATAGAAAGGTTTCTTTTATACCCTTTGACTCATGAGAAGGGAGACTAATAATAATATATAAAAAATAATTTAAAATTTTATATTTGTGTACATACGCATTTCAGTTCTGTGCATGATTGAGTAGTTTCAATACAAATTCATAGATTATTTGAGATTTTTTTTATTTTGTAGCAAAAATGGGAGTTTAGAAGAAAAAAAGAGAACAATTTTTGAATGAACTATAAAAAAAATTGAGCATCTTTAGGAGTGAACTAAAAGAAATTTAGTCTCCTTACTGCTGTATGATTAATCAAAATGGAATACTCAAAACTGGAATATTATTTTTGAATGTATTTTTAGATATAATGCATTTTTATGCATATACAGTGAAATATCTCGAGCCGGGCAGGGTTGACTCAGCCTTTCATCCCTTCAGTAGGTCAATAAATGAGTACCAAGCATGCTTGGGAACTAAAACACTGGGGGGTTCCGTGTTCGGCTGACCAGCTGACCGAAACATCTGCTTCTGCACCCCAGGGCCCAAGGTCAAGAAAACTGAGATGGGCACAGTAGGCCTTGGCCCTCTAGGGCTGTCGCGCCGCTGAGTTTAGTTTAGTTTTAGTGAAATGTCCAGGGAAGACCACCTCTGTGTAATGACTACATCTATTTGCAACCACTTTTGGGAGGCACAGAATTTTTTCCATAGACTTCTTGTTGAAGAAAACCCTTTGGTGAGCCAATTAAAATTTCACCCAGCGAAAGGGCAAGCATCTGCTCCAGATGCGAAAATTGTCAAATAAGGAAACACAAAAAAACTATCAAAGCAAACAATTTAACAAAATAAATAAGTAGATTAAAATGTATTCACAATATTTTAGTGAGGCTCTTATTTAGAGAGCACTTTTTGACAATACAACCTCATATTGCAGTCAGAGTGCACTAAAGACAATGTTATCAATGATTTACTTTTAGAGTTGAAAGTAAAGTTAGAAACAAAAAGTTGTTTTAGAAAAAACTAAGTATCTGAAACAAACAAACCTCTTCTCATCTTTTAAAAATTAATTTCATAATAAAAAATTAAATGCAAACTTACACACTTAAACAAATAATTGATTATTTATTTATAATAGCATTATCATTCATAACTGGCAAATTTGTTTTTTCACATAGTTGTATCAGTTGGGATCATTTTTATAGGCTCTAAATTTTATTCATCGATTCGTCTTTCCGCGTCGCCGACAGAAGTGGCATTTCCACACCAAGAAAATAACGCTGACTAAAACTAAAATAGTTCGGGAAAAATCATGTACCTTTGATAACAATTTTGAAGTCAGTGGAGGTAACCTCTAAGAACGACCCACCTCCATCAACAAGCATTTTACTGTGGAGGAGAGAGTGGTCGCTCCCGAGAGCTGCTTCACTGTATTAATAAACATGCTCTGTCATTAATCACAAAAAAGTACAAAGTAAAAAACAAAGTAATCTTACCTATTTTTAATAGTTTTTGCAAAGTCTGGACTCTCATTTATCAGATCTTTATAATTGTCATTTGATAAAATAACACCTCCATTTGCAACAGCCAACTCAACAATAAACCTTAGAATATCCAAAAAACAGTTAACTACATTAATATTGAAAAAAATACTATAATAAAGTTAAATTAAAAATGACAGATACAAACTGAGTAAAATTCTGTAGTATCTGTATTATTGCATATTTTTACAGTCAATAAACAGGCAAAATAGCCAGTAACCACTGCATCCTTATAAAACAAACATAGCTCAGAAGACTTGGAAATTCTAGAGTCAAGTATCTGGGACAAGCTTGCCTTCGTGGAGGACTTTCAAAGGGAAACTAACCCGCATTTGCGTCACATGGAAGGGGAAACCACGTTTACCTTCCACAGTTAGCCCGATGGCAATGGGACTCAAACCCGGGATCCATCTACCACTATTATTAATGACTGCACTGTGGTCGGTGCAGGTTAAAAGTCGATTGTGAAATGAAAAGACACAGCTAAGAATACAGAATTCAATTGTAAGGATTAAAGGCAGACAATAAGGTCAGTGTGCCTAGATCAGGGTTCGCCAAGTGGGCCCACTTTGAAAAAACCCGTCCGGGTTTTATTGGGTAACCTTGGAACGATAAGTGGGTTTTTTCAACAACAAAAAAATTTCGTTTATTAAAGCTTATTGTTGCAGATCTACTTTTATATAATTTATTGTGCAGCATAAATTTGTCAAATAGAGTTGCATGATTTATAAGACTAAGTTTTTAATATTAGTAAAGTAAGAGAAACTTGAATTTATAATTTTATAGCACTATTGAAAACTTTAAGTGGGTTTTTTCAAAAAGTAATATTTTAATGATATTAAATCAAATAGAAATTTAAATAATATAGTCTGAAAAGATCAATTTTTCAAATATAGTTGCATGTTTTATATATTAATATACAGGTTATTATTATTAATTTATGTGTGTAAAAAAATTGAAAAGAAACATTATTTTTTTTACAAAGCGATACACTAACAAATTTAAACAGTTTTATTTTCTGGCTTTAAAAAAATAAGTTAAAACTTTTTATAAGAGAACTTTTTAAAATTATTTCTCTAAAAATGAAATTATTTTCCTAGGCTTAATTATTTGAAAACAAATGAATACTCTTTATAATTATACATAATTTTAATTTCACTTTCTAATTATCTTATTAGAAAAACATGGAAGACCATTCAATATTTATTTCAGTTTTTTATTTAAGTCAAAAGTCAGATGAAATTTTAGTTTTTACTGATTATAAATATTTACAGATTATAATTTTATAATGGGTAATATCCATATGTTTAATAAATATAGTAAATAAATGTGTGTGAAAACAAAAAGATTAATAAACTTGTTCCTTTTATATTACTGCATTTATATTTTATAATTCTTGAGTTAAAAAATTATGAAACGTAATGTACTTAAAAATAAAGAAGATTCAAATATGTATTAGTGATAATGCGTTATTTAAACTTAATATAAAATACACATAACAAAATTAAAATAACTTTCTGAACTTATTTCTATTTTTACGCTTACACAACACTTTTTAACAAATAAAAATATTTACACAGTAAAACTTAAAGTTTATGAGCACTAAACGAGAAAAAACTATTTTCCCCTGGTTTTTTCAAATAAAACTAAATTTTCCCAGAGTTTTTCCAATAAAACCCAGGCGGGTTGGGGTTTTCCTAAAATATACGAGTTTTTTCAAACCCTGGCCTAAATGCAACAAGATTTCCTATAAATTTGTTACAATTAAGACAAGTGTGACATTTCATTGCATACATTCACAGAAAATGGCTGCAGTAACTTCAGTTCTAAAAAAAATATTTTCTAGATGAAATTGAATTAATATCTGTAACCTAAGCAAAAACATAACATTGTCACACTTAGGGCATTTTTCATCATTCAAGGGTCATTTAAGGTCACTTATAGAACATATAAGGGGGCATAAGACTTTGTCGAGGGAGTGAGTGACACTGACCTAAGTGGTGATTCTGCATTCCCATACCTGCCAACATAGGAGAAATAAAATAATGGAGATTTTACAAGCGCCATTTTTTAGGCTACGAGTAAAATTTTGATACATCATGCTTAATCGCGTAAGTCAAAAAGAGAAATTCAAAATGTGAAATAACATAAGCACTGACATTTTGTGAAGTAAAAAATATGCATATAAATCTGAACCTAAAGAACATTTTTTAAACCATTATATATAATTACTTAAACTATTAACACTCAATATACTGCAGTACTGGCAATAGCAATATCTGTTAAGGAATAAGATAAGTATTTTTGCCATCCGGGGATTTTTTTACCATCCAAATTTTTTTGTTTAAAATTTCTTCAACAAATACAGAGAAATTTGAGAACATAAGGGTAAACAGGAAATAGTCGTAAAATACAGGAGTCTTTGTTAAAGAACAGGAGACTTGGCATGTGTGCATTCCCTGCTGATGGTGAAATTCTTTGGTAAGTGTTTAATTTAGTGGTTTTTATTTGAGCAAAATGCTCATTCTACGTTTGGCAATTCAAAAAAAGGGATTCATTTACAAACAAATGTATAATACAAAAATTTCACTCAAAAGTCAATAAATGACTAACTTACAGAGGCAAATGGATTTTTTTTTAAAATTTATTTCATTACAGTACATCATTTATTTAACTTTGTTTTAGTGTTCTGTTTTTTAAAATCATCCCGAAAGCATTTAGATGTTTAATACTAATTTTAGTTAATAGGAAACAACCCTTTAACTTCGTTTTAATGGAAAGTCAATTGTACGCATGGAAATGTCATTCATAACTAAAAAATGAATCATGATTTAAATTCAGAAATTCAGCACTTTTGGTACAGATTGTATTTTCCTCAACTGAGATAAAAAGTGAACAAACTTCAGGTGGAAATTGGGACTGTTTTGAAAAATAGCTCTTTCAATTCATTTAATTTCAAAAGGCAGCATTTTTTACAAAATTCTAATCTGTAAAAACATGTCCTATCAGAAAATTCAAAAATAAACGATCACTTGACATTTTTTTTTCTTTTTAATTTTTTTATGTTCTGGTGTTTGCAAACGACTAATCAGCTCCAATTCTTTTTTTGATAAAATGATCAAGCAAGGAATAAAATATAAGTGCTGTTTTTCTAACAAGGCATTATAAAAAATATAAAAAGAGTTTTTTATAGTATTTTATCAAATTACTGCATATACTTATTATAAAATATTTCTTTATATTGAACTTAAAATAGAGTGATCACTAAAACTGATTGCTGTTCATTAATTAAGAAATTTTCCCAAAAATAATTTCCATTTTTCACAAGAATGTTTTTTTTCTATAAAAATGGGTTTTAAAACATAAAATCTGGATTGACTCAAATTTCATACTTTTAGTTAGAAGTGTATCAATTATAAGTTACATAAACATACAATTTTAAACTTAATATCAAAGTAATATAATTTAAATAAAATTATAATAAATAAAATAAATAAATAAAATAAAATACAGTGAAACTTCTCCTAAAGGCCACCTCTACTTAAGGGCCACCTCTATTAAGGACCAATATTTTGAGGAACGAAAATTTTCCCCATAGACATAATGTTAATTTTCCTCCTATTAGAGGGCCACATTTTCCTGACTACCTCCAATAAAGGCCATTTTTCCCCCATGCCATATTTATCAAACCAAGAAACGCTAATAGAAGTAAATAAGCTGATATCCCAATCCAAGGCATTAATAAATGATGCGAATTTAACTAATTTGTTTTATAGAGTTAAGGAATCATTAGAAACTAAAATTGTTTGCGAAAAATTGTAAAAAGTAAACAAACTTCAATTGAAAATTTTTTTAAGCATGTATAAAAACTTAAAATGTTAATAAACAGTTTTTTTCTACATAAATTTTGATTTCCTCATTTTATTTTTTGGTCACCCCCATTTAAGGGCCACCCCCCATAAGGGCCAATTTTCAATGGAAGGACAGGTGGCCCTTACCGAGAGGTTTCACTGTATATTAAATTTAAAAACATCCACTTCTTCACATACACTCAGATGAAAATAAGATCCTTCAGACACCAGTTCCTTTTTTTTTTCTTTTTTTTTTAAACTAACTTTAGAAAGTAATTTCAATTTAACACCCTGCGTGGTAATTGCAAGGATTTACACATACAAAATATACCTTTACAAAAAATAATTACTTTAGATTTTAAGTAACAAAACTATTTAGTATAGCTTTTAACCTCTTTAATGATGTACTTTGCAATGACTCCCATGCAAAATTCAAAAACCATTATTTGCAATTAATATTGCCTGATCAGAACAAAACCAATTCATTACAATTAAAGCTATTTAAAATTGAAAACATGAATTCGAAAACAAGTAAACTACAGTGAATTTCCAATGGAGTTCATTCATTGGTTTAAATAATTAATTAATTTAAACAAAATCTAACTAGTAAGTACAGAAAAAACTAATTATCAAAATATATCGGGATTACATTTTTTAGATTTTAAGATGCACCTTCTTATTGAAATATAAATTTCAAATCTAACATAGCATTATAAATAGTATAACATTAAATATTAAGTGACAATTAGTGTGAAAAAAATAATAAACAATAATAAATTTGTTTGCACTGATAGTGAAATTTTAAGAAGATTGCAGGAAAAAATGACAAGTGACATTTCTGTAGCAATTAAAAACTATTTTAAATAAGCATTGTACAATGCTAAGTAAAAATGGACAAAGTAAAAAAAGAAAAGAAAATAACATTACCAGTTGGAAACCACTGTTGTAAACTGTTCTAATAAAGCTTTAAATATTTTTTTATAACAATCTGTAAAAATTTGGCCTCTTACTTCAAGGATAAAACTCAACTTTACTTATAAGAACACGTTTGATGAGAAAATAAATAAATAAAAAGAGAGAGGTGGCAAAAGAAGTCTACATTTGCTTCCTACAGAATCATCATCTTCTTATACCAATAATCAGTCAAATATAACAGATCAAACCATCACATCACCTGATTTAATAAGTATATTAAGAAGAGTTAATCAAAAG